TCCTTCCTGAGCCCCCAAGTAGCTGGAAATCACACGGCACATGCCAACCATGCCTGGCTAATTTTGTATTTTTAGTAGAGGCAGGGTTTCACCATGTTGGCCAGGCTAGTCTCGAACTCCTGACCTCAGGTGATATGGCCCGCTGGCCCCTTGGCCTCTCAAAGTGCTGGGATTACAGGTGTGAGCCACTGTGCCTGACCGGGGTCGTTTCTTGCCCGGAGAATTATATATATATATATGTTATAGGCCCAGCGGACATCAATATATTACAATGCAGGAGAATAACTGATGTTCATATTAGTGGAACTCAGTCATTAAGAAAAGTTTAATAACATTCAGTTTTATCTATTTAAAAATGTACCATGCATTTTAGAGGTTTTAATCATTTTGGTGCTTACAAAGGATTGAGCCTGTAACCATCAGAACTCACTTGTTCAGAGTGACTCATTCTTCAGGATGAGCTCACACTCCTGCATGAAACAGAAGAATAGCCTTTGTGTGTTACTTACAGCCAAAATATGCATATTCTTGTGTAGCCAGACTCATTCTTTTTTGTTTGTTTGTTTCTTTGTTTTTATTGTTGTTTTTGAGACAGAGTCTCGCTGTGTTGCCCAGGCTGGAGTGCAATGGCACGATCTCAGTTCCCTGCAACCTCTGCCTCCCGGGTTCAAGTGATTCTTGTGACTAGGCCTCCTAAGTAGCTGGAATTACAGGCACACACCATCATGCCCGGCTAATTTTTGTATTTTTAGTAGAGACGGGGTTTCACCATGTTGCCCAGGCTGGTCTTGAACTCCTGACGTCAGGTGATTCACCCACCTCAGCCTCCCAAAGTGCTGGGATTACAGGTGTGAGCCACCGCGCCTGGCCCACCAGACTCATTCTTTTATGCTGGTCCTGTGCAGCCTGGGCTAATGGTGCCTCCCTAGTCATTGGTTTATCATCTGTCCTTGCTCACCTGGGCTGACAGTGCTTCCCTGCTCACCTGGGCTGACAGTGCTTCCCTGCTCACCTGGGCTGATGATGCCTTCTTGCCCACCTGGACTGGCCATGCTGCCCTGCCGCCTTCTTTTTCCTTGCCTCAGTGGGCCTTATCAAGGGGCGGTTGTAGAACCAAGGAAGAACAAAGGCTCCTTTCTCCCTTTGACCTTATGTTGTAAGAATGATACGCTTGTCAACTCATCTCGGACAGCCAATCCAACCATAGGCCCTAGAAAAATAGGAGTTTAGAATTAAAAAAACAACCTTGATCAGCCAAGGATGTGGTTGGATGAAGGCAGAAGGAAGCTCATAGCATAGAGAGACTCACTAAAAATAAAAGCAACAAAAACAGAGCGGACATAGGGCATGCACCTGTTGTCCCAGCTACTTGGAGAGGTCAAAGTGGGGGGAGGTTGCTGAGGCAGGAGGATCACCTGAGCCCTGGGAGGCTGCAGTGAGCCATGATTGCACCACCGTACTCCAGCCTGGGCAACAGAGTGAGACTCTGTCTCAACAAAGAAACCAAAACCCAAAAAACAAAAACAAAAACCCACCGCTACCACCACCAACAAAAGCAAACCCGAACAAACAACGTGTCTCCCAAATCCAAGAAGAAGACTCACGTTCAAAGGTGATGGAAAATTTCAGGGTTGAAGTAGACAAGGAGTCAGAAAATAGGCAACCCTACTTACCATACCCGATTCTGGGTCCAGCGTGTCCTTGGCAGGGTGCCGCACGGTGAAGGGACGTGAGTGACCCTCTCTCTAGAAATGTGCCCTCGCTGGCAGATGGCCTTGCTACTCCAAGAGTCCATCATCTGATCTGACCCCCTTATTGCCTTAATCACTCACTTTCACACCAATTCTCAACACCAGCCAGGTCAACAGGTTGCCGGCCAGCCCAGGCTCTTGCCTGAGCGAAAGACAGGCAAAACCAGGGCAAAGCGTCAGATGTGATGGGTGGATACGCTGCGCAGCAGTTCTGCGGCAGGGCTGCTGTCATCATAGCCACACAGATGCAGTATGTGCACTGTGTTTTAAGGAGCTGTGTGAGGCAAGGAAAGTCCCAGGGCCCTCCTGGGAAGCCAGCCCCAAATGCCTGCGGCAGGGCAGTGAGACCCATGGGGCTGGGAGCTGCCAGGAGTGGTGGGCCCTCTCCATTTCACTGTGCTCTTCCCGGAGCACTCCTCTCTCTGACTCTCCAGGGCCCTTTCCTTCCTCCCTCCCTCTCTGGGCAGTCTTCCCCTCCCCCGTGGCCCAGGCGTTCTCTGAGCTCCTTCCCGCTCCAGTCCCCCTCGCCTGGGCTCATCCAGTCCTCCCGGGCTTCCATGACAGCCTGACATTTCAGTCTCTGCCCGTCTGCTGCTCCCTGATTCTTTCTGGGTCTCCCAATTCAGATTCCCAAGAAAAAATTCAGATGACCGAGTTCGTGTTTTCCTGCCAGTTCGACGTCAAGGGTCCCGCCCGGGCTTGTAAAGGGTCTTGCTCTCCTCAGCAGAGGTGGGGTCTCGTGATTTACAAGGTAGCCCTTTCCCCAGGGCTGGGAGTCAGCAGGTGTGCGTCACTGATTTAGCAAGGACAGGTGAGTGGGTTTCTCATTTTTGCAAAGAAATGGTCCATAAGCTGGAGATTGCAGCGTTTTTCCTCCTGTTCCCTCACTAACCAGCTGGGTGGCAATGGCAAGTCACTTCCTTTTCCTGTAAAATGAGGGGTCTGAATAGATGCTAATGCCATTTGCTACACACCAGGCACTGCTCCAACTACTGCAGGCACATTTATTGATGAATTTCCACAAAGGAGGTGCTATCACTAACTCCTTTTAAAGAAAGGAGGCGGCCAGGTGCGGTGGCTCACGCCTGTAATCCCAGCACTTTGGGAGCACCAGGCGGGAGAATCGCTTGAGCCCAGGAGTTTGAGGCCAGCCTGAGCAACGTGGTGAAAACCTGTATCTACTAAAAAAAATACAAAAATTAGCAGGGCGTAGTGGCATGCGACTCTGGTCCCAGCTACTTGGGAAGCTGAGGCAGGAGGATTGCTTGAGTCCAGGAGAAGTGAGCTGAAATCGTATCACTGCACTCCAGCCTGGGTGACAGAGAGAGACCCTGTCTCAAAAAAGAAAGAAAGAGAAAAAGAAAAGAAAGAGATAAAGGAAGAAAGAAAGAGAAAAAAAAAAAAAGAAAAGAAAAGAAAGGAAAGCTGAGGCACAGAGCACTGAGTAACTTGCCCAAGGTCACACAATTAGCAGGTGGCAGAGATCCGGTCTAGTTTCAGAATTCTTGCCCTTGACCATGCTTTGCTCTCTCTCTGAGATTCTTTCAGCTCTTGAGCTTTAGAAATTAAAGTTTCCAGCAAGTTCTTTGCAGCAGCTGATGTTCTCTATTAAATGACAGCGGGGAGTCTTTGAAATATTCAAGAGAGCCTGGGTTCACTGCTAACATCCTTGTTGTGAAGGCCTGCTGCTGTTTGCCATTCCAGGACCAAGTGGATAATGAGTTAAGCTAGGCTGGGAGGGGGTTCAGCTCCCCACAACAAGGCAGGGGCAGCCCTTTGTGTCCGGCAGCATGGTAGTCCCCGTGCAGGAGCTCCAGCTGCCCTTTGTGTTTGACCTTGTGGAAGGGCATGGGAAACGCTGGCCTGTCAGCAGGCATAAACTCAAAAGTTTCTCCTTCAGCTAGTTTCAGGGACGGTCTAGCCAAGTAGATACACAAGATGAGGTAATCCATGGATCCTGTGAGGGCAGTTGGCTGATTGACTTAGGTGTGCCCAAGTGCCTGTAGGTGTCAGAACAAATCTATGCAGAAATGCGGACGCCCACACCAGCTCGGATGGCCTAAAGGCACGCATTGGAACGTGGCTCATGAGCTGGGACCCGGGATCAACCGCTGGTTTAAGGAGAGGACCGTGAAATGCCCGAACGTGGATTCCAGGCCGTCTCCCCGGGTGCCTGGCTGAGGGCAGCCACGTGTCTGCAGCGGTGGCATGTGTCCACGACTGAGACAGGCAGAGTTTGCAGGCAGCGGTAATCCATCAGCAGTCCCCAGATCTCTAACGTCGGGCGAAAGGGCATAGGAAGTCCCACTGTCCAGGAAAGTCCTTCATCCTGCTTCTCCCTGCCTTGGGCCTTTTCCCATTGTCGCGGTCACCTGTCCACAATGGCTGCACTGTGCGGCCCTGCAGGTGCTCCTGACACTGAATAACCAGACCCATGGACTGACCGGATATGAAACTGACGTGGGAGGAGATCAGGCAGGTGCTGGGGCTGCCTGGCCCAATGCACAGAGCCAGAAGGGCTGTTGTGGGGAGGGTGTTATTGTTTTAGTGGGTGCAGCAACGAGTGGCTTAGCCAGTTGGGCGGATCACTTGTAAATTGTTATTTACAGTTTCTGATCCTTTAAAAGAAGAGCTTCGCGGGAATCAGTCTTCATTCCAGATGTGCAGCACCATGAGGGCCCTGGTGCCTCTGTTGTCCCTGTTCCTGCTGGGTGGCCAGGCCCAGCATGGGTCTGACTGGACCTACTCAGGTAAGCCCCTAGCCCCTGCATGCTTCCTCAGTTACCCTCACACCCTTACAACAGGACAAGCGCCCTTCTTTTTTTTTTTAGACAGAGTCTCACTCTGTTGGCCAGGCTTGAGTACAGTAGCGTGATCTCCGCTCACTGCAACCTCCGCCTCCCGGGTTCAAGTGATTCTCCTGCCTCAGCCTCCCGAGTAGCTGGGATTACAGGCACCTGCCATCATGCCTGGCTAATTTTTGTATTTTTAGTAGAGAGAGGGTTCCACCATGTTGCCCAGGCTGGTCTCGAACTCCTGACGTTAGGCGATCTGCCCACCTCCCAAAGTGCTGGGATTACAGGTGTGAGCCAGCATGCCCAGCCAAGACTCCTCCTTTAGGGCATTTCCCAGGATGGCCAGGCAGCCCACCTGCCATCTGTTGGGGATGTGCTCATTGTGGCTTCAGATGTTATCTCTGCAGTGTCTCAGAAGGTATGGAGAACAAGCTGAACTGAAACTTCAAATAAGGAAAAGAAGGAAATAGCTTTCCCCTTCACAAACTCCTGATTTATTTACAGGCTTTTTGATTTTTTTTTCCACTCACAGTGTTGGCTGGTTCGAAAGCACACTCACTGCTTCTCTTCGTAAAGACATTTGCTTTGTTGGTCTGTGTAAGTGGAAAATAAAGTTCTTAGAAAAGACTCTCGCTAACCTCACGGAAGGTGCTGTGGGGTTTACGAGACCTTCTTTCTTGGAAATTTCATGGTAGGCAGTTTACCCAGAACATCTTGACATAAGAACCCAGTTCCCTTTGGTCTGTGGGTGGCCAAAACCAGACTTTTTTTTTTTGAGACAGAGTCTTGCTTTGTTGCCCAGGCTGGAGTTCAGTGGTGCCATCTCAGCTCACTGCAACCTCTGCCTCCCGGGTTCAAGCGATTCTCGTGTCTCAGCCTCCCAAGTAGCTGGAATTACAGGCACTCATCACCATGCCTGGGTAACTTTTGTATTTTTAGTAGAGATGGGCTTTTACCACGTTGGCCAGGCTGGTCTCAAACTTCTGACCTCAAGTGATCTGCCCACCTTGGCCTCCCAAAGTGCTGAGATTACAGGTGTGAGCTACCACACCAGGCCCCAAACCAGACTTTTTAAATGTGAAATGTAAAATCCTGGCATTCAGCATGGGTTCTGGTCCACATGTGAGCCAAAGCTAGAAGGTCGTGTCTGTAGGGTTTGTGGACACTAAATGGCCCTTTCCAGGGGCAGTGAGGAGAGCTTCTTCCCGCGTCCCCCTCCTTTCTGTACGGGACCATGGACTGGGGTCCATGAGGAGGCTGGTGGCCACTGGCTGATGCAGGAAGTGAGACAAACATCTGCTTCCTGCAGAGTCCGCCCCAGCTCAGCTGCTCCAGAAGCATTCCTTCAGGATGAACGGGATGATCTGTTAAGTCAAGGGCAACGGAATTAGGGACATCCTGGGAGGTTCAGAAAGTCCAGCCAGCTCTGACCAACCGCTGTGTTCCTGAGCACAGTGATCTTACACATGGCAGTGCCTCAGAAGCCTGGGGCATTCTGCTTCACTTGGCCAAGCAGTGCAGGCAGGTGGTTCAGAGGTGAAGGAAGAGAGAATTCAGACAATGAAGTCCTTGTCCTCCCCAGGTTCTGCCCAGCCTCTGAGACAGTGGGCTTCCTGGAAAGCTACTAGGGACTCTGGGAGAACCTGAGAGTAGCGTAGCTTTTGTAAATGACTTTCAGGGACACCTGAGAGATGTTCCAGTATTGACAGTGGCCTGGGCCAAAGCATCTTGCTCTGAGAAGGGGTTGTGCTAGAGGCCTCTTGCTTGATTACAAACCAAAAAGCGCTGAGAGGCCCCGGTACAAACACCTTTTTTTTTTTTTTTTTTAGAGTTTCACTCTTGTTGCCCAGTCTGGAGTGCAAAGGCACGATCTCGGCTCGCTACAACCTCTGCCTCCTGGGTTCAAGCGATTCTCCTGCCTCAGCCTCTCGGGTAGCTGGGATTAAGGGCTTGTGCCACCACGCCCGGCTGATTGTTTTGTATTTTTAGTAGAGACGGGGTTTCTCCATGTTTGTCAGAGTGGTCTCGAACTTCCGACCTCAGGTGATCCGCCCGCCTCGGCCTCCCAAAGTGCGGGGATTACAGGCGTGAGCCACCGCACCCAGCCACAAACACCTTTCTTAAAACAAGCTGTGTACTCACCACACAGCTACCCCCGCACAGGGAACAGAGGAGAGATTCTCCATGCCACATGGCTGACACCAAGCTCCACAGCTGGTTGGGGGCCAAGTCACCTATGATAATGACTCACCTATGTTACTCTGTCCCCTATGATTATCAATCCTCTCTGAAAAGATCAACTTTCTCCTTATGAGTTCTAAAAAAGTACTCACTCTGGGTTGTCCTGGAACCTGATGCTTCCCTAGTTTCCCTGAATCCATAAGTGTAGACACCTAGATGGTCTTTACCATACTGGGAATTCATAAAAGGGGCTGGAGCAAGAAAATAGTGGTGGGGGGTTCCTGCAGCAGGGGGAGGTGGGGGCTGTGTTCCTGTTGGGGGCATGGAAGGACAATGGGGCCCTTGAGAGAAAATGAGGAAGAGGCCTCAGGAACAGCACGGGAACGGCAAGCCAAGGATCCCTCCATGCATTCATCAGCTGGAAATAAGTCAAAGGGGAGCAAAACGTTCTGTATAAAAGATTCTCAGGCCGGGCGCAGTGGTTCACACCTGTAATCCCAGCACTTTGGGAGGCCAAGGTGGGTGGATCACCTGAGGTCAGGAGTTAGAGACCAGCCTGGCCAACATGGCAAAACCCCGTCTCTAATAAAAACACAAAAATTAGCCAGGAGTGGTGATGCATGCCTGTAATCTCAGCTACTTGGGAGGCTGAGGCAGGAGAAGCTCTTGAATCTGGGAGGCAGAGGTTGCAGTGAGCCAAGATCACACCACTGCACTCCAGTCTGGGTGACAGAGCGAGACCCTGTCTCAAAAAAAAAAAAAAAAAAAAAAGACTTTCATTGATTTCAAAACACTGTCTTGCTCCCAGGGCCAGCAGTCGCCACAGGAAAGTTAGAGGTTAGGACCAAAGCCCCTCAAACACCACAGTCCTTGGAGTTGACCTCGTTGTCTTTTCGGCCTCCTTCTGGGGGCCCTGCTTCCGCTTTCTGGAAGGTGCCGCCGTGGGTCCCTGCCCAGTGGGCCCTGGCCTCTGGCCCGGTGAGGTTCCTGCAGAGTGGGCTCAGCCAGGCAGCCCCTTGAACTGTCTCTCTCCTGTCTCAGAAGGAGCACTGGACGAAGCGCACTGGCCACAGCACTACCCCGCCTGTGGGGGCCAGAGACAGTCGCCCATCAACCTGCAGAGGACGAAGGTGCGGTACAACCCCGCCTTGAAGGGGCTCAAGCTGACGGGCTATGAGACCCAGGAGGGCGAGTTCCCCATGGTCAACAACGGCCACACAGGTAAGGGGAAGGGGTGGCGAGGGGCTCCAATCCACGGGCAGCCCCTGGCAGCCTGCAGGGGAAGGCGGGCGACACGTGTCCCTGCCAGGAGTGGCTTACACAGAGACACAGAGCATGGCCTCGGAACTGGAGGCCTCGAACATGAGGGTCGAACATGAGGGCTGAGCGACCCGGAAACCTGGTGGCTCTTCCAGAGAGGGCAGCATCTGTCTTTCCACTCAGCTCCCTGCTGGTCCCTTCCTGCCATGTTATCCTCTTACTCGAGCTCACCCAACCCACGCAGCAGGCGACAGGCAGGACAGGCCGTGCTGCTGAAGCCACCTTTCCCACGGGGACTCTCTGTCCATCAGCTGGGGTCAGCTTTCCCACAGTTCCTATATTCAGTCTATTCAGCTCAAAGCACCTGACAGGTAGGACCAGGGTTTCTCAGAGTTTTGTTGTTTTTTTTTTTTTTTTGAGACGGAGTCTCGCTGTGCCGCCCAGGCTGGAGTGCAGTGGCCAGATCTCAGCTCACTGCAAGCTCCGCCTCCCAGGTTCATGCCATTTTCCTGCCTCAGCCTCCCGAGTAGCTGGGATTACAGGTGCCCACCACCAGGCCAGCTAATTTTTTGTGTGTTTTTAGTAGAGACAGGGCTTTCACCATGTTGGCAGTGGCGTGATCTCAGCTCACTGTAGCCTCCACCTCCTGGGTTCAAGCGATTTTCCTGCCTCAGCCTCCTGAGTGGCTGGGATTACAGGCATGCACCACCACGCCCAACTGATTTTTTTTTTTTGTATTTTTAGTAGAGACAGGGCTTTCACCATGTTGGCCAGGCTGGTCTGGAACTCCTGACCTCAAAGTTATCTGCCCACCTCAGCCTCCCAAAGTGCTGGGATTACAGGCACGAGCCACCATGCCTGGCCTGGAAACTGAAATCTGTGCTTTACTTGTACAGAACATCCTCCTGATTTTCCAAGTTGGCTCGACTCCTCTGAGCCTCATGACCACCCCAGGAGGGGGCATTTTTTAGGCAGGAAGTCTGAGGCCTCAGGAGGTCGAGGGACTCACCCAAGGCTACACAGTGTCTGACGGCCAAGATGGGCTCACACCCCCAGATGTCAGGTTTCTTGGCCACATCCTTCTTAGGTATTGCACTCTCTCACTCCTGCCTGGGTTGAGACAGTTCCCTGCCTGCCACACAGCAATACAACAGTCACTGGACTTGGCCAGGCATGGTGGCTCACACCTGCAAACCCAGTACTTTAGGAGGCTGAGGTGGGAGGATCACTTGAGGTCAAAGTTTGAGACGAGCCTGGGCAACTTGGTGAGACTCCATCTCTACAAAAAATCAAAACGTTAGCCAGGAGTGGTGGTGAGTGCCTGTAGTCCCAGCTACTTGGGAGGCTGAGGTGGGAGGATTACTTGAGCCTGGGAGGTTAAGGTTGTGGTGAGCTGAGATCACCACTGTACTTGAACCTGGGCAACAGAGGGAGACCCTGTTTCTTTAAAAAAAGAAAAAAAGGGTCACAGGACTTCGTTTTCTTATCTTGAACCTGGGCAACAGAGCGAGACCCTGTTTCTTTAAATAAATAAATTAAAAAAAGAAAGGTCACAGGACTTAGTTTTCTTATCTTGCACAATCAAGAAAATAAAACTGGCCTGGTGGGATGGCTCATACGTGTAATCTCAGCACTTTGGGAGCCCAAGGTGGGCAGATCACCTGAGGTCAGGAGTTCGAGACTAGCCTGGCCAACATGGTGAAACGTTGTCTCTACTAAAAATACCAAAATTGGTTGGGCGTGGTGGCGTGTGCCTGTAATCCCAGCTACTCGGGAGGCTGAGGCAGGAGAATTGCTTGAACCCAGGAGGCGGAGGTTGCAGTGAGCCAAGATCATACCATTACACTCCAGCCTGGGCAACAAGAGCAAAATTCCACCTCAGAAAAAAAAAAAAAAAAAAGAAAAAAAGAAAGAAAACCAATTGTCCTTTATAGGACTGGTGAAAGTAGCAAATTGGAGAATGAAGCTTTGTCTGTAAAAGGACTCAGGTTTATGTGGCCAAGAGCCCTGAAATACACAAAGAATGAACAAAAGCTTCATTTTCATTATAACATCAAGCTCTTGTTTCCAAAATTACTCTCTGATGCTTCCAGATTGGCAGGCTGAACTCTTCCTCCTCTCCTTGTCCTCTCCTTGTGGAGAAAGGGTGAAGCACAAAGGCCAAAGGCAGTGGCTTTGTTCACCCTCCCTGGACAGCGGGCGGGAAGAAATCAGTGATGGAGGGATCTCCATGGGCAGCCCCTGCTGAGTGCGGGGTTCGTGCTGAGGGCCCGGGAGAGGGAAGGCATCAGGAAGAGAAGAGCCCAGCTTCCCAAGGGGCTTGCAGTGGCTCGCTCCTCCCAATTTCCAGAGGACCCTGTCCTTTCTTCCTTTGGGGCTGTGCTCAAATTTCTGTGGTCTGGAAGCCTGTTCCTTTGGAGTTCTCACCTCACACGACAGCATGCCAGACATTAGAGTGGACCCAAAGTTCACATTAATTATATATATATTTTTTAAAAATTTTCTTTTGAGATGGTGTCTTGCTCTGTTGCCCCAGCTGGAATGCAGTGGTGTAATCTTGGCTCACTGAAACCTCCACTTCCCAGATTCAAGCGATTCTCCTGCCTCAGCCTCCCCAGTAGCTGGGACTACAGGCGTGTGCCACCATGCCCACCTAATTTTTGTATTTTTAGTAGAGATGGGGTTTTGTCATATTGGCCAGGCTGGTCTCGAACTCCTTGCCTCAAGTGATCCGCCCATCTCAGCCTCCCAAAGTGCTAGAATTATAGGCATGAGCCACCGTGACTGGCCATAATTCTATTTTTTGATGTAAAGGGTTTTTTTTTGAGATGGATCTGTCACCCAGGCTGGAATGCAGTGGCATGATCTTGGCTCACTGCAACCTCTGCCTCCTAGAGTCAAGCAATTCTCATACCTCAGCCTCCTGAGTAGCTGGGATTACAGGTGTGTGCCACCACTCCCAGCTAATTTTTGTATTTTTTGTAGAGATGGGGTTTCAGTATGTTCGCCAGGCTGGTCTTGAACTCCTGGCCTCAAGTGATCCACCAACCTTGGCCTCTCAAAGTGTTGAGATTACAGGCGTGAGCCACTGCACCTGGCCTGATATAAAGTATTTTGAAAGATTTTTATAATTTAGCTTTTGAAGTTATTTGGCTATTGCCACTGGCTACTTTTCAGCAAGCTCCAAGCACATTCAGGAATTCTACTGAAGGGGAAAAAAAACAATCTACAAACTATGATTCTAATGAGATTTTGATGAATACTAAGCTTAACAATAAAGTTGACGTGATGTATTAAAGATTTGTTGATTTTTGGTTTTGCAAGATTCTTTTATTTGAGACGAAATCTTGCCCTATCGCCCAGGCTGGAGTGGGGTGGCACGACCTCGGCTCACTGCAACCTCTGCCTCCCTGGTTCAATTGATTCCCCTGCCTCAGCCTTTCCAGTAGCTGGGATTACAGGCACGTGCCACCACGCCTGGCTAATTTTTGCATTTCTAGTACAGATGGGGTTTCACCATGTTGGCCAGGCTGGTCTCGAACTCCTGACCTCAAGTGATCCACCTCCCAAAGTGCTGGGATTACAGGCATGAGCCATCACGCCTAGTCAGGTTTTGACAGGTTTCTAATCACATGTCTCGAGCAATCGTTTCAGTGTCATGAAAACCCTGTGGTCCACCTGTTCATCTCTCCCTTCCTTCCTAAACCCTGGCAATCACTGATCTTTCTATTTGACCTATAGTTTTTCTTTTTCCAAAATGTCACATAGTTGGAATCATACAGCATGTAGCCTTTTCACATTGGCTTCTTTCACTGAGTAATATGCATTTAAGGTTCCTCCATGTCTTTTCATGGCTTGATAGCTCATTTCTTTTTAGTGCTGAATATTCTATTGCCTGGATGAACCACAGTTTATCCATTCCCCTATCCAAAGACATCTGGGTTGCTTCTCAGTTTTGGCAGTTATGAATAAAGCTGTTATAAAACCTGTGTGCAGGCCAGGCATGGTGGCTCATGCCGCTAACCCTAGCACTTTTAGAGGCCAAGGTGGGAGCATCACTTGAGCCCAGGAATTCGAGACCAGCCTGGGCAATGTAGTGAGACCTACAAAAGTAATCAAAAAATTAGCCTGGCATTGTGGCTCAAACATACAGTCCTAGCTACTTAGGAGGTTGAGGTGCGAGGCTCGCTTGAGCCTGGGAGGTCAAGGCTGCAGTGAGCTATGATTGCACCACTACACTCCAGCCTGGGTGACAGCGAGACCTTCTCTCAATCAATCAGTCAATCAATTCCATGTGCAGGTTTGTGTGTTTTCAATTCATGTGGGTAAATACCAAGAGCTTGCTTGATTATATAGTAATGTCAGAGGCATTTGAACCAGAGTGACCCATCTTTTACAGGGGGTGGGAAAAAGAAGGCTGAGACTTACTGGACTGCACTCCCAGGAGGTTAAGGCATTCTAAGTCACAGGATGAAAGAGGAGGTTGGCACAAGATACAGGTCACAAATCTTGCTGATAAAACAGGTTGCAATAAAGAAGCCTGACAAATCCTACCAAAATCAAGATGGCCACGAGAATGACCTCTGGTCGTCCTCACTGCTACACTCCAACTAGCACCATGACAGTTTACAGATGACATGGCAACGTCAGGAAGTTACCCTATATGGTCTACAAAGGGGAGGCATGAATAATCCACCCCTTGTTTAGCATATAATTAAGACATAACCATAAAAATGGGCAACCAGCTGCCCTTGGGGCTGCTCTGCCTTCGGAGCAGCTATTTTTTATTCCACTACTTCCTTTTCTTTTTTTTTTTTGGAGACAGAATCTTGCTCTGAGGCTGGAGTACAGTGGTGCTATCTTGGCTCCCTGCAACCTCTGCCTCCGGTTCAAGTGATTCTCGTGCCTCAGCCTCTCAAGTAGCTGGGATTACAGGCATGCACCATCATGCCCCCGTTAAG